TATATCAATGAAGATTACATCCATAACACCCAAAGAAAAGTGCCACAGAGAATCAAATGACAGGAACGATCCATGAGCAACGCATGGACAGGGCTGTACTAACACCACAGACCATGGACTTGTGATTCAGACAAGGAGAGGTTCATAAGCGAGTGTCCTGCTTCACATCGGATGGAACATGAGTTTTTTGCATGTTTCCATGGCCGTCAAACCGCAATGTCGTATAAAAGGGGCGTTCCCAGTCCTTTTAATTGGATAGAAAGAAAACGCCCCATATCGGCCCCCTTCCAATAAGAATATGCACCGTAGCGAAAAGTGTGCGAAATTGATTCCTACTTCGAATAATTTGGACCACTAAAAATTTTCACATGATAAGGAGTACCATCTTGTCATCCCTCCAAGAATATTATGCCACAATGAAATGTACCCAAAAAAAAGAAAAAAGAAAAAAATCATGGCACCATGCAGCATACAAGACAGGATGCCTTCCCTGATTGCAAGTACCAGAGACTACTGGCAATCAATCTCCAAAAGGTACAAACATGACAAAAATGATGTCCTGAATAGTGTTGATACTACTTGATAGTGTGTCGGCTTGCTGATAAGCCAGTAGCTGCAGTAATAATGCACAGAGAGCAGAGCACTCCTCAGCTGCCCTGTCTATGCGGCAGAAAACTCGAGAGCGGACTCACACTAGTACTATTTTTTCAACTGAATGTAGTCAGAAATAAGGTCAGATTCGCCTACGAAAGTTCAAGTATGCATGTGCCCTTACTGGGGACCTAAGATTCTTCCGATATCACGATAGAACATAGGGCATGGCACGATACAGGAGCAGCACGTGAACATCGATAGAGACTGCCTCGATGTAACAGACCAATTGAGACAATTGTCTTTCGAGACGACATAAGGCGGGTGCCACACACGAGCCCCTGAACTGGCTCCACACACGCATGGCGTTGTGCGGGCCCTGTAATCAGGCAGACCAACAACCCAAGGGAAATGAAGAATCAACACCCACGTGAAGGTCAATTCATTACGATGAGCTGTTCCCGGAAGAATAAAACTACATGGGGCTGTCTGCCGCTATCATACTCATTACACTAAGTTAGCGAACAGGTAGCTCCCATTGCTATCAACACGAAATTGGTGCGTGCCACAAGATACTTCGCCACGGTCTCAAAGATCTCACCCCTCGTATATCAAAATTCAATAAACCCACCCAGCCAGTCTCAAGATCCCCTTCACCCAGACCTTGGGAATGAGGGGTCCACATACATGGATTCTGTCTGCACCCGTTTATGTGCCCACACAAACAGCAGGAGAGAGAGAGAGAGAGAGAGAGAGAGAGAGAGAGAGAGAGAGAGAGAGAGAGAGAGAGAGAGAGA